AGAAGTCCATCTCCATTGTTTTTAGCGTAAGCTCTATTCGTCATGATTCGTCACTCAGCAAGTACCGTAAACAGAAGCAGCCCCCCCCCCCTGGAAATACTAAAAATGGCGCACGTCCAGGGGGTGACTGCTTCTGTTTACGGTACTTGCTGAGTGACGAATCATGACGAATAACGCTTACGCAAAAAACAATGGAGATGGACTTCTGTGTAGTATTCTGTGGCCTCGTTCTCAAGATAGTCTTTGTACTCAACGAAGCCTGATTCGGAAATGGTCTATTCGATGCACATTATTTTAACGTGGGACCACATTTCGTTCGACGGTCTCAACCGCTTTGTTCAAGATTGTGGCTAATTGCACAACAATATGAATTTTACTTTGTGAAAAGAATTGTAGTTTTAAACAATCATCAACGCCTATTATTGCAAAGTTAAATAAAGTGTACAAACGCGTTATGTTCTCTAAATAAATTAATGATCTGTCTGTCTGTCTAAAAATTTATTGGCTTACTAACGACTTGACCCGATAGCCGAAATTTTGATCTTGACAAGAAGAACGAAACCATTACCATAGCTGGAAAGAGCATCGTAAAATGAGTAACAGTGCAAGGTTTGGTTGCGAATTGTTGTAAAATGAGGAAAATATAGCCCTGTGAAGTTTGCAAGTTTTGCATATATTTGCATTACGCGCGGGAAAAACCCATTTTTGAGCCGAAAATGGTTATTTTTACCGCGCGTAATTCAAATATATATAAAATTTGCGAACTTCACAGGGCTATATTTTCTTCATTTTACAACATTTAGCAACCGATCTTTGCAGTTTTGCGCATTCTAACACGCTCTTTCTAGCTGTGGTGTTGGATTTCGTTCTTCTTGCCTTGATCAAAATTTAGTCCAAAGCTGGAATCACCCATTATAACACAAAGTCTATTGCCTCGTCCATCGACATGGCGGCGTGACGAAGCCAGACGGTTTACATGTAGGGTTCGTGAAGGTTCGTGCTTGCTCCTTAAAGTCCTTAAAAGTTTACAAAGGCACTTGAATAGCTCTTGAAATTTACCGTTTAAAAAACTCCTTGAATTCTTTTAAATAGTAAGTGAAACCATATTAGTATTAACTTTTGTTAGTTGCCATAGGTATTTGACCGTATTTCGTCCAATTCGTGGTGCAAAATTGCAAAAACCGGCATAAAGAAACCAGTAAGAAACATATAGCCTCCTCCGCAGGCCTCTAGCTATGGGTTCTAGCCTGCGACTTTTTCCCACCACCCGATTCGTCGGGTGAGACGCCTGCGGAGGAGGCTATAAGAAACAAATCGTTGATACAAATTCGTCAATATTACACCAAGTATTTCGTTTGGAAGCTACCACTGGTCAATATACCGTGGACTCGATCTGGGTTCGATTTTCCCGCCAATTTCTAGTTTTCATTCTCCTTGAAAGAAACTGAAAGAAACTATAGCTAAAACACTCCTTGAAAAGTGTTATTTTACTGCTTAAAACTCCTTAATTACGCCTTGAATTCAACTTTTCAAGACCAGAACGAACCCTGGTTTGATTTGTGGTGGCTGGAAAAAACTGAAAAACAAGTTTATAAACAAAGGTTGCTGTATTTGAAAGAGAAGTTCAATACCGCTGGTGTCAGTATGAATATTGAATGACAAAACTTCAGTCGCAATAAAATAGGTAGGTAAAAGTATATTATTTCACTAGTGATTATTTCACTAGTGATTAACTATAGAGCATTGTTGTATAAAGATGGCACTATAAAGCCGCGTACAAACAACTAAACAAGCAAGTTTCCCTTGACAAATTTCATATTTGAAGAGTCTACTTTCTCGTGTGTGTACAGTCGACAAATTTTCCTTGACAAGTTTTTAATAAAACAAGTTTACATAGAAGTAATTTACAGCCTTTACAACCTTTATAGCGGGTGTACACATGATTGACAGTTAACACAAACAAATTTTACTTGTCAAAAACGGGGTCCAAAAGCTGGCTGGCATCACTAGCTTTTGGAACAGGAGTTGTTGGCAAGGAAAATATCAGTCAAGTTTTGCTGTACACACGAGCAGGGCCGCTGCTAGACCGATAATTGGAGGGGTGCATTAATTCATATATTTGTGTTCTGCCCGATGGTATGTGAACATGAATATATGAATATACACACCCCAATTGGGTCATTCCGGAAAGCATCCATACCACTCCCACGGAGGAAATAGGAAGTTAACCCCCTACCCCCTTCGGATGTCCTAATTAATACATTTACTATTATCAGAAACAATTTTTTCTCCCCTTTCCCTCCGGACAGCAGAAATTTCCTCCGTGGGGGGAGTATGGATATTTTCTGGAACAACCCATTATCGTGTCTAGCTAGTACTGCCCTGCACACATAAAACTTGTCAAGGAAAAATGTATGTGGCAAGTTCTTTAAGACCTCAGCCATGCCATTTGGGGCTATTTGTATTCCGCTCTAGCACAAAATCTGGTTTTGAATAATTTGAAACCTTTTCGTTGCGTTTTCGAATTTTCATAAATTAGCAAGGGTGGGTTGACTACAAAATTTTTGTAGTTCGCTATAACTACAGCTACTTCAAAAATATGTAGTCAGCTACAACTACTGCTACTTTTGAACAAAAGTAGTTCGCTACTGACTACAGCTACTGCGAACTATTTCGCTATTTCGCTACACTATATTTTTTAGTTTACTGTATTTGGAGCATCTACTAACTCAGGCTAAAATGTAACCTATAACGAATCGACTTACGAGTAGCAACAGTAAACACAAAGCGTGCAAATTGACTATTGAGTATTGATTTTAAGCAAACCGTGTCTCAATATCGTGCTATATTCTATCAAGTTGCTAACAATTTTAAAAAGTAGCGAATAGCGATTCGCTGTTTGAAAAGTAGTCAACTACTTGGCTACTTTTAGGAAAAATGTAGTTCGCTATAACTACAGCTACTGTTTTAAAAAAGTAGTAAAAAACTACTGGCTACTTGTAGTTCGCTACAGTAGCGAACTACACAGTGGCGCCGTGGCCTGGGGGGGGGGGGCAGGGGGGGCATGGCCCCCCTATTGTGGAGAGCAGTCGGAAAATTGTGAATGTTGTCGGAAATTTTTGGAAAATTGTCAACGTTGTCGGAAATCGTCAAAGTTTCCAACGTCGGTATTTTCGGAAAATTTTGGATAAATGTAGAAAAATGGTGATGTCCGGAAAAATTTAAAGATGTAACGAAAAAATTTGGTATGTCCGGAAAAAATTTTTGACCCCTAAAATGGTACACTGACCGAAATTTTTTTGGCGACGGGGGGGGGGGAGAGGTCGTCAAAAAAAATTTCAGTCAGTAACAAAAATTTTCGCGACGTTTCAGTCGGAAAATATTTTCCGGTTTGTCGGGTCCCACGGCGCCACTGGAACTACAACTACTTCGCTACTACCCACCCTTGATTTACAGTAATAATATATTGTGTTCTTGTGTACCAAGCTTGCTCTCACAACATAAGGCCAAGTACAAAAAAAATAGTAGTTTCTCGTCCGAATTTTGAAAAAAAAGGAGAACGCGGGCGCTTTTTTTTTGTTAAACCTTCAAATATTGCTCTTAAAGTTTACCAAATAACCTATAAACATACGCAAATATTGAAGTACTCATAAAACGTAAATATATAATAAAATAGACAAACAGCTACTAATGCAATATGGCGCCAAAATGACAATATGGCACGAACAGCGGCGCGCGAAGTACCAAACAGCAAGTGAGAGTTGACGAAAAGTTCCGAACGGCAACCGAACTATGCCGAAAGGAGCAAAATGGCCGAAATATGTAAGTGGAAAGTCTTTGAAAGGTTAGAATATAAAAAAAAAATTAAAAGAAAGAAAAATCCATGTGGCAGGGAAAAAGGATGCGGACGGGGATGAGAAACTACTATTTTTTTACTTGGCCTAAGAGTTGTAAATACAGAAATTTTATCAAAAATATGTGAATTTTGTATATAGAATTTTGTATATAGGATTTTCGTTACAATGCGCAGACAGAAATTTACCAAAAATTGAAGACCTAACATTACAATCTGCTTTTTAGCTAGTGTTATCAAATCAGTCAGACATGAAGATCAGAAATCCGCTTGGTTTTTGGTTCACAAAGACATTTGTGAAGATTCTTCAGAAATTATGTAGGAATTTTTCAGCAGTAAATTAATTTCCTCCAAAGCCAAAACATTACAGACTGGTCATATTCAAAGCAAAATGCCAATACGCACAGACATTAATGCACTACTCAATTGAAACCCCGACCCCCGGGACAGGGCGGGGAATTAATGGGAGAATGGCTGTGGATTAACAAGGTCTTAATGCACCATTTCCCCCGGGGTACAGGGTAAATAACAAGTCAATTTATTAGCCGGACAATAGCCAGGACTTTAACACACAGCTGATATGAAAGTAGACTGGAATGAGTTTATCCTTGTGGCAACATGGCAGAATCTTCAAAATCCGAAAATTGTTTCCTCATTTTTTTTTCCGTAAAAAAAAGGAATATAATTTCAGGAAGATTGTCGAAACATAGATTATTCAGTATCTTTTGATATACGGATCAAAGTTTAAGATCAAGAATTGCCTTCACATGTTGTGAACATTTTATACTAGTTATAACAATTTTCCAAGTCATGAAAATTTGCAAAGTGCCGGGGCCATAGGCGCGGTAACTTTAACAGTCAATATTCCCCCGGTAGCGGGGAAATTACTAAAATTTAACATTATCAAAACGTTAAGGGCGACCATTTTACCCAATTTATAGTTTGAATAATTTCCCCCTTTATACTCTTGTCTCTTGCAAAACCAAAACACAATTCCTTCCTAAACTGTTACAAAATGAATTGCTAAATTATATTGAATTTACATTTTCATAGAATTTACATTTTCAGGCGATTTACTGTGTCCGACAAGTGGCCAAAAAACGTGAAAAACGTGGCCTGTCAGACCAAGTTTCTAACTTTCTAGTTTCTAGGATTCAATATGTTGAACTCTGTTCTTAACACAAACCTTAAACAGCTCTTCGTATGTTTCCTCATCAATCTCAACAGTTGTAATAGTTTCTTCAACCTCACCAAGAATCATATTTAAATGTTGATCATATGCCTAGTGTATTATAGAAAATGAAAATTTAATATGCAATTTCATGTACAAATATTTTGTATAAATTTGGGTGCAAAATTACAAAGTTTGTTCCGTATTTTTGCCGATACGCACGTGTAGTCTTCCACGTAGTTCTCTGTCATTTCTTAATTTCACGTAAATTCTTTCATCAATGCTAAGACGAACAAGATCTAAAGGTTCTTCGACGTTATTCTGTTGTTGTTCACTTTCGTCCGCCATCTTGGAACGTTTGAGCACGTGACACTGCCAGACCTCTCAACCCTATGCTCTCAACTCTCACGCAGGCGGTGTGCGCAATACGACCGCAAAGCGTGATGGGGTTTTCGCGCCTGAATTGCAATTGCACCTCATTTGCATTTTGCTTTGACCGAGTGAACATCAGAGACAATCAGTGTCAGCGAAAATAAATACGCTAATTTAATATTCTTCGATGGGAATCAATTGCCTTTATTCCCACACATAAAGAAATATGGTAATAAGGTGCATATCAGCGAATTTTATGGACGAATTGTGGCAGTCGACGCTTCGTGTTGGATCCATAAAGCGTTAGCAATTTTATCACAACATGGCAAATATCTCGAAAGGTGAGTTATAAATATGGGTACTATATTGGACTATTTTATAGGTAATTACTACATATTTTCACTAAATACTTATCTTCAATACAAAAAGCTGGAGTGATTCCATTTGTAGTGTTTACTTAATATATACAACAATATATAATAACTAAATGCTTCTGATTGCTTTTACTGTATTTTATGTACTGTAAGCACTCAACTTGGTTCACTCTCAGTAAATGTTCAAATAGTATCGATACTATTAATAGCTAAAAACAAAAATGATACAAAAATATTCAGCCTTTGTGTTTGCGAACTTGACTTATCTGCAGAAGGTAAGGATGGGAATTTCATTAGTTACCATTTACTGTTGTTAACACAGAGGAGGGGCTGGTTGATGAACATTTTGATGAACAATTTCCATTTTACCAGAGAAGCTAGCTGCTACCTCCTAGTAAACTCACTGCCATTGTAGTTTGCCACTTCCTAGCCTACCAAAATCTTTGCAGTCCTGGGTTATTAGCACTTGTTGTGATGGTCAGAATAAATTTCTTAACACAATAATCAGCATCCTGGACAAGCATTTTGCCAATGAGCTTGCTGCAGGAAACATCAACCCAACAAGTGGAATAAACCAAAATAACTTTTCTCACCTCCAGGTAGTAATTGGTTGCATTTTGATTAATGCATACCAAAGTAAAATAATCTAGTTGCATTACAGCTTGTACATTGTCCTTGTACAATGAAGTGACACAAAAATAACTTCATTTTAGGTCCTCTTCCAAACATGCCAACAGAAAGTCAGACTATACAGGTACAGTAGTGAATTTACAAGCCAGTATTTACCAGCAGTATTTATCTGTATTTACCATCCAGTATTTACCAGTAGGTAAATACTAGCCTAAAATGAACATGTTTTTTGATTGATTTGCTTAGACAAAGGTGATCATAATTTGTGACTTGTTCTTTGAAGTAATTGTTATCGTAGCTATCTTAAAACATCACAAAATCTTTGAAAGCTGTATTTGTAAAAAAAATTAGTCATGATGATAATTATCTTCAAACAAACCACAAAGACCATTTTGGTCCAAAATAGAAATTTGTTATCACAACACAAAAGGTGGTGACTGCAGCTAATTACACTTACGGTCTTAGGCCATCATAACTTAAGCTTGTATGAACTTATTTTGTGTAATTGCAGGTGAAATAGTTGGGACCATTACAAGCATTGCAGACTCATGGTTCTCATGGACTATATCAACCTTCCCTGTTATGTCCATTGCCCATAGAATTTAAATGAATAAATGTAGTGCTAAACTCTGGCAATGCACATGCTCTAACTAGAAGATCTACTGACATCTGCCCAGGAAAATGTAAATGTACGTCGCACTGCAAAATTACAATTGATGGAATTGAGTACATTGTTTATGGAAAATAACAAAAGTAAGCGAGGTTAGAGATGAGAGTGCAGCAGGTATGGCGAGACAAAGCATTGAAGAAGAGCAAATTGAAAGTGAAGTGCACACTGTTCCACTTAAAGTTCTTGGATCATGTCATTCAGGTGAAAGACAGAAAATATTAGAGGAAGCGTTCGAGTACCTAAATGAGTATAATAGGCCAGTCTATGTGCAGTTGGAAAAAGAACCAGACAATTTACATGATCCAAATGCAATTGCAACTTATGTGAAAACTATTGATGCATTCCACAAGTTTGGTTATATTGCAAGCAGGGATGCTGGGGGGGGCAGGAGGGGCAGCTGCCCCTCTTGCCTTTTGTTAGTAGGGGCAAGGGGGGCAGAAGTGCCCTTTGAGTTATAAAATACTACACCTGATAAATCATGTTTCCAGTGATGCTTTTTGCATGGGCAAAATCATGAGGTGTGATCTTGAATGTGACCTGATTAAGTGCATTTGCTTTCATTGGCAAGTCAACACATAATTGTAGGTTTATATCTTCACCGAGGTTTACAGAGGTGCCCTTTGGTGTGCGTTTGCCCCCCCCCTTGCCTTTTTATCGTTCCGGCGTCCCTGATTGCAAGTGAACTGACACAGTATATTAGCCCCCATATGAACGGCCCTAGCTTTGATGTGTCTATAAAATACATCAAACTACATACAACTTTTATGCGAATTGGATTTTATCACACAATTAACATATCCAAAAAAGGTTCATGGCATCCTAATGTGGTCAAAGCTAGCAAGTCTGCTATATGTAAATGCATAAAATATACTGAGTAGAACTGGTTTGATGCAACCCATCTTATTAAAAAATCAACATTTGTAAAGTAAATTAACTTGTCTGTTTTTAACGTGTTTATAAATATGAATGACTATATTCATTATTATTTGTTATTTACAAATATGTGCATAAGGTTATGTACTGTGTGTACTGTGCACAGAACTGCCCACTTTCTGTAAGATGTCCGCTGACCACTCTCCTCCGCAGAGGCTTTGTAGTTTGTTTTCTTTCTATGAGAATGAGTTTGTTTTCTTTCTTTCTATAAGTTTGACTTGCGGGCAGTAGTGGGCTAGGTAGAGAAGTGGCGGCACACAGGGGAGCAAGCGTGGGGTTAAAAGGGGGCATCATGGACATTTGGAGCCGCTACTGCTCGCAAGTCAAACTTATATAGAAAGAAAACAAACTACAAAGCCTCTGCGGAGGAGAATGTCCGCTGGCAATACGAGCCCGCATGAGTGGGAGAAATTTTTCTAAATTTGACCAATGTGCTCACATATGTTTTGGCACTGGTGGCAAAGCCACTCAGGTGTGCCATCTTCTCATCTCTCAAAGCACCATGACATACCATAAAGCAAGTTCTTGCCCTCTTGCAATGTTTTCATGGCATTTAAACTTTTGTCCAGAAAATCTGCCTGCACAAATTGGTATAAAGCCATGCATGCCTCCAAGCTCAATAAAAAAAGCTTTTATAAATAGTTCAATAATTGTTCCTTTAATCTTTGGGACATGCTACACTTTTGAAGGCTGTGATGAGATTTTGGACAATATCACCAAGAGTACCTGGGTTATTTCCTGCTGAGCCCTTACATGGTGACTCTTTGAAAATTGGTGAGAGATTATCACTAAAATTGAACACAGCAGCAGGACTTGATGGCACAGGAATAGCTGAGCCAACAGAATCATGTACATAGTCAATTTCAAAATCTTTTTCTGCATCACTCAATGTACCACATTCTTCGCCAAGGTTTTTAGGACTCGGGTTCTACATGAACCTCCTAGAACAATTAAAATATTTTGCTTTAATTAATGAAATATAAGAATATATAAATGGCATTTAATTTATCAGTCGAATTTAATCACAACATTGTTGGGAGCTTGTTGTTTAAAGATGCAGTCAACTCAATTTCCATTTGTTGTTTATAAATGTTTCAGCCTGCAAATGTGTTCAGCCTGAAATTATATTATGAATTTAATCTGTTAAGTTACATTCCATCCTAATGTGCCCTTCTTTATTATTTTACTCTGATTTTACTTGTCAAGGAGGGGCACTGGCACTCAATGCTCGGTTAGTTGATTTAATTTAAATCAATAATAATAATATGATTCGAATACCATACCTGATCGTTGGGATTTACATGCATTTTTTACTGCTTGGGCATATCCTCTTTATCTTTGGTTGTTGGCCATTTGTCGTTCCAGGGATCTTTCCAATACAGACATATATACTGTATTTATTTATAAATAGTATAATAGTCCATGGACCATGACACTGGATTTTCATTCCTGCTGGATACAGAACTTTGAGAAATTGTTTGGAAAAGGCTCTTCCTCGAACTACCTTCACGTAAAGCCAACTTTGGCTTCGCTGAACTGTCGCCAGTTGACAGCTCGAAGCATCTCTCGCCTCTTGGTAGCCATTTTGTTTACGGTGTCAATGTATCATTTACCTGTTAAAATGGGCATTATAAATTCAAAAATTGCAGACAAACCGTACGAGGTGCGATGGGGTGCGATGTGATTTTTGGATAGTTTATGCTTTAAAAAACAAGTATACAAAGGAAATGCTATTGATTTCTAATCGTGTAAGGATATTCTGGCAATATAAAAACGCTACTCAAACACCACGTCGAAACATGCCAAATATGGGTTCAGTTCAATCGGCTATATCTTTCGACACAATCAAGTTTTCGTGAATGATTTTAGGCACACATTAACACCAAACACTCCTTTTCGATATAATAATACAAAACGTAATCAAAATGAGAGGAAATAAGAATAAAATAAATGCTAAACTTACCCATAACTGAAGGTGAATTAACATTCCTTCGCAAAATTGGTAAATTGTGCTCCCATACTGCTTTGCGGTCGTATTGCGCACACCGCCCGACTCTCACGCATTCGGCGTGAGTCTCACGCAATTCGCTTCACTCTCACGCTCTCACGCCACGTTTAGTAAATCTCACGCATATAGCAATTTCATAGTATTTTTTTCAATAATATAATATTGTATTCTTAAATGCACATTATGAATCATTTTACGAATCGCGAGTCGAATATATAATCGCGTGTTCTTGTTCTTGCATATACGGCCCGACCAATTTGGATACAAAATACAGCAATTTTCGTCCAAGCACAAACCGCAAACATTTTCGCGCGTTTGTTTACGTTTGAAACGTGGCGTTTACCGTTGGAAACGGAATGTTTCACTGCTCATGTGACGTGTTATAGTGAAAAGCCTAATTCAGTTATTTTTCATGTTTTGATGTGCTTTCGTGTACTTTTCAGTATTTCCAAGCTCACGATATTGTATTAGAGCGACCAAACTAGTTTATATTCATACTTTTTGTGACTAAAACGTATTATAATGGGCTTGGAAATATTGAAACGTGCACGGAAGCACGTCAAAACATGACAGTTGCGCCAAAAATAGCTTAAGGCTTTTCAATGTGACACGTCACATGAGCGGTGAAACATTTCAGTTTCCAACGGTAAACGCCCCGTTTCAAACGTAAACAAACGCGCGAAAATGTTTGCGGTTTGTGCTTGGACGAAAATTGCTGTAGTACGCATATGTAAATATGGCGGACAAAAGGCAGAATCAGTCCAAGCAGAATTCTATATGTAAATTATCAAAGGCAAATTAAATCTGATTACTGTATGTCACAGAAATACAGTTTTACAGGACGTTATGAAGCAATGTATTTCATTAAAAAACACCAACTCCCATAATGTACGAAATGCCATTTCAGACCCCCGGACGTTTACAAAGGTGCATGTCATCCACATCCCCAATCTCACTCTTAACTTCTCTGCAAAGTTGAGAGATCTGCACTGCGCCAGAATGGTAAAGCCATGGTAAATTGGTAATGTTACCACTTTCACATCCCCCTGATTTTCGGAAAAATATTTTAGCTATTTGTTTTGGGGTTTGCCTCGTGTTTGCCTTCTCTTGAATCTCCTCGACATTTTACAGTAACATTTGTTTCGAGTTGCGCAAGTGGGAAGAATCATCCTGGCTAGTGAAAGACAGGGAACGAATATTCAAACCTCAAGAAATTTTAAAGACGTTATTTTGTAAAGGCGGGTGAAATACTGTTTTGTATGCTCAATATTTAATAATTTGTGATAGAGTACGAGATAGAGTACTGAGGTCAAAACAATGCGAAATAAACAGCCTTTTGTGCAGTGTAGTGGACAATTTTAGCAACTGATGCATACAATTAAGTTGCCCAAACTACGATCTCGAGAAACAGTCTTTCTCAAAACAAAATGGTTGACTAGAATTTCAGATTTTAGTTTCATATGTTGATAATATGTTTGGTTTCAGGGCCGGTGTCCCAGTTGATTTGGACCCCCGTAGATTTGGACCCTCGGTCCATATCCACTAGTAGATTTGGACCCCCGGGTCCAAATAGACTAGTGGTTATGGACCCCCCAGGGGACAAATCCCCCCCCCCCCAGGGGACAAATCTAATCTGAAAAGTAGAGGACATTGAGAACGTGTTAAATGTTAGTTAAATTTTTTCTACCCACATCCTACATGTTATATACACTTGTGCTTATATAGCATGCTTTATTTATCTTCTATCTCAAACATGCTTTCATTATATTTTAATATTCAGATATTTGTGTGTTCACTTGTGCAGCCCGAGGTAAGTTTATTGTGTATTAAATTTTGTAATGGGGGTTAGTTTAGAGATTTATAGAGCAGCTATCGGGGCTTCGCTTTTAATTTGTAAATCCTTAGTTAATGGTGTTAGTTTATATTTAATATTGTGTATACTATTGATGGTAGCTGGAGATATTGAGACCAATCCTGGCCCTCTTCGAAATTTAACTTTGAATATGGGTCACATTAATGCTCGAAGTTTGAATATTGAAGATAAATTTGATGAAATATGTTGTCTTGTCCATAATGACTAATGTAAATTTGGACATTTTGGCCGTTTCAGAAACCTGGCTAAATGACAGCATTTCTAGTGATTCCTTAAATATTCAAGGTTTTGCACCGATAATCCGTTTAGATAGACAGAATGGTCGGAGGGCAGGTGGAGTTGCATTGTATATTTCATCTAGTATTGCATATAGGCGACGGTTGGATCTCGAAAATTGTGAATTTGAATTGTTGTTTGTTGAATTTAAAATTTGCAATACTAATTTTCTTTGTGCAGTTTGTTATCGGCCACCAAATTATAGTGCTACTATGAACTCTGCTTTCTTTGGATCGAATACGTTTAATGCCTAATACCTTTGTTGTACTCCTTGGGGGATTTTAATGCTCATTTCGATGAGGGTTCTTCACAAAGCGCCGATTTTGGTGCTTGTTTATATAGTTGGATGGAATGTGATAATTTATATCAGGTCATAAAGGACCCGACGCGAGTGACATCACATAGTGCAACCCTGTTGGATCTTATAATAACAAATTATCCAGGCTACTTTGTGTTTTCTGATGTATTAAGCCCTCCTAGCGGCTGTGATCACTCTTTTGTTTATGCTCGTATAAATGTTTTCCCCGATAAACAAAAATGTTATAAACGTCAGATTTGGGACTTTAAAACAATTGATTACGCGGTATCACGTCAAAATTTACTTAATATTGATTATGATAACATAGTTACGAATAGTATAGATATAGATGATATATATTATAAATGGCATAAAGAATTTCGTGAAACTCTTGAGATTAGCATACCTAATCGAACAGTAATAATTCGTCCTATATAGAGATAAACCTTGGATGAATTCGGGTATAAGAAAGGAAATTCGTAAGAGAAATAGACTGCTAAAATATTATTGTAGACATAAAAGTCCTGAGGCATGGGAAAATTATAGAGCGCAAAGAAATTTGACAACGTCACATATACGCGCTGCCAAAGAGACCTTTTATGTTAAGCTTAATGAGAAATTGCAAAACCCGGAAATAGCCCCCAAAAAATGGTGGGGCTTAATAAAATTACATTATGGAAATAAGATTCATTCAAATATACCAGCGTTGGTAGACGGGGGTCGAGTGTTAACGGATTCGAAAGAAAAAGCTATATTATTTAATGATTATTTTTGCTCTGTATATGAAATTGAAAATGCAGATACTGTTTTGCCGAGTTTGGATGTTTTTCAAGATGTAAAGTTCATTGGTAATATTTCCACTTCAACTCAGGAAATAAACATTTTGCTTAAGAATATGTTGACGTTTCTAAAGCATGTGGCTATGATGGTATAGGAAATAAAATACTTAAGATTTGTGCGGACAATATTACAAATCCTTTATGCCATATTATTAATGAATCTCTTTCCCAAGGAATTTTCCCCTCTATGTGGAAACTTGCTAATGTTATACCGATATTTAAGAAAAACGATCGCCAGGATAAACTCAATTACCGTCCAGTGTCATTGTTGACATGTCTTTCTAAGATTTGTGAAAAATTGTTTTTATTAGACTTTATAATTTCTTGCTTGAAATAAAATTTCTGACCCCATTTCAATCAGGATTCCGACCCGGGGATTCTACTATTAATCAACTTATATTAATAACCCATAAAATATATGAAGCTTTAGAACAAGGTAAAGAAGTGAGAATGGTTTTCTTAGATATTAGTAAGGCTTTTGATAAGGCCGGTCTGGCATAGAGGACTCCTTCTTAAGCTTGAACGACTTGGTGTGCGAGACCCTTTATTGAAATGGTTCAGATCATATTTAACCGGGAGAAAACAACGGGTAATTATTGACGGTCAGTCATCTGACTGGAAACAAATTGAAGGGGGGGTACCCCAAGGTTCTCTACTAGGACCTTTGCTTTTCTTGATTTATATTAATGACATTACTACAAATCTTTAATCAATTGAACAAGGCACTTATAAGACCCGTTTTAGAATATGCTGATGTGATTTGGGATAATTGCTCCTTGAGTGAGTGTGATCTCATTGAATCAGTTCAATATGAATCAGCAAGAGTGGTCACGGGTGCTATGAGGGGAACTAGTAGATCCAGATTGTCGGATGAATTAGCATGGGAAGATATGAATACCAGGCGTTCTATGCATAAGCTTGTTTTATATTATAGAATTGTTAATAATCTTACACCAAGCTTTTTATCAGACTTGTTACCCCAAACGGTGCAACAAAGGTCGGGCCTTTTTCTGAGAAATTCTGCAAAATTTACCTTGTATATGTCAAGGACTGAAAGATTTAAAAAGTCATTTTTTCCTTCGGCTACGTTTATGTGGAACAATCTCGAGCTTGGAGATCGTGATTTATCCTCTGTTAAAGTTTTTAAACGCTCGTTATGCCAATATTTTGATATTCAAACATATAATAAGTTGTATGATTTTGCGAATGATAGGTTTTCTTCAATCTTGCATACTCGTTTGCGTTTGGGATGCTGTGGTTTAAATTATTATTTGTTCAAAATAAATTGTATCCTGTCGCCTATGTGCATTTGTAACACGGAACATGAAACAGTTGCCCATTATTTGTTAAGATGTCCCCGTTATGCTGCTCTTAGACATAACTTGCACTCGAGTGCTGCACAAGTGTTTGGTGATAATTGGTATCTATTGTCAGATTTACAACGAGTAAATATTCTTCTATCAGGTTCTACTAGATTGAATATTTCCGAGAACCAAACTATTTTTAAATCTGTCCAGTACTATATAAAGCAAACTGAACGTTTTTCTTAGTTCAACCTACCAATTATCGCTTTTGCCTTTTGTTGTGTGCTTTATGGAGTTTTAACTCTCACAAAATTAATGTAAATGTTGCGTGAGCCCCCTTGATGAGCAATAGCTCTTGGGCAAACGCAATTTCAATAAAATATGTTTATACAAAAAAAAAAAAATCTACTAGTAAATACGGATCCCCATTGGGCTATTCCAATGAGGAACCTTGGAATTTCCAGTGGAGGGGGTGCATTAACTTTGGAATTTCCAGGGGAGAGGTGCATTAACTTTAAATTTCCAGGGGAGGGGTACATTAACCTTGGAATTTCCAGGGAAGGGGGCATGAATTCAGGATCTGTAATTCCAAGGGGAGGAGTAATTCTCACATGGAATTTCCAGAGGGAGGGGTAAATTTCATGGGATGGAAATTCCATGGGAGGACATATGTTAGAGGGAAATTCCCAGAAGTAAATGTCCCATGATGGAAATTCGATAGGGAAAGGTAATTTATACATGGAAATTCCATGGGCAAAGGTAATTTTTACAAGGAAATTCCATGGGAAGGGGTAAATTTTACATGAAAATTTGCGGAAATTCCAGGGGAGTACTGACATGAGAAAGGGGTTCCTCAACAGGGGAGGGTGCGGATAATAATTGGAATAGCCCATTGGCGGATTTGGACCCCCTTCAAAAGTTAAATATATGTAATGTGAACACAATAATATAAACCAAATTCATAATTATTTATAGCGATCAATCTAAAGTATTTTATACTTTAAATATTTGTGATAAAGGCCAAAAAACGTAAAATAGAAAAATAGAATACAGACAAGTGTGTATGTCCAGGTATGTCTTTGCCAATAACAAATCTGCTAATGGTTTTACGCGATAGAAATTGCATATGTCGTTTTGAGGCGCAAATTTTGCATCATGTTTTAGTATTTAGCAGTTTATACTGCAAAATTTTGTGACCCCTATGGTTATGATTTTTTGGCCTCACTTTTTGGAGCTCCTGGCCTAAAGAAGGCACAAATAAATTTGTTTCCGGCCTTGCTTTTGGAGCTTTGCTTTTTAAACTCTGGGGACCTTGGATTCTTTGCGGCCCCGCACTGGTGCACTGTTTGCGCCCCGCGCTGAAACAGGGAACAGAACTAGAAAAAGTATGTTTGCGCCAATCCTTATGTGCATCACATAGCATGGTTAGGTAGGGGCAATTTGTAGGGGTGCACCCACTGAGCTATAATATTACTGGAGGAAGTGCTTGGCAAAAAAAATGTCCGCAAAAACATGGTGGATTTTTGCGCCATATGACGCCATTTCCATGACAACTGGTTCCTCCGGCTCATGGAATTACTGCTGACCAGGTCCAATTCTGAGCCTGCTACAATTTTCACACACCCCTGGTTTTGTCAAAAATATTTTTGCTTTTCGAAGTTTTTGCAGTAAATTCTCGGGGGTTTTTTTATACAGGGTGTATCAAAAAAAGCGCAATCCTCGACTGAAATGTAAATTGCTAAACAAATAATAGACGAAAACGTTAAAGTCTACATTCATTTTAAAGCGTAGCCATTCAGCTTTCTAACAGTGGGTTGTTTCTTAAATTTGACTCATTGGTTCGCGGGTAATAATACTTTACGTTATTGCGATTGGAGATTAAAAAAATTGAGATGGAATAACAAATCGTTCTCATGAAAATAACTGATTTTTTCATTAAAACAAAAAAATGTTGCATTTTATTAAATGGATTGTAACAATAAGTATAATTACGGCTTTTCTTCCACTATTTTTAACTCAGTTTTAAACTTCAAATGCGATATAATTTTGGCTTGGACCATCTAAGCTGACTGACATCAACTTGCTATAATTTCTGTTTACATTACATCGCAATTCGATGACACTCTGGCTCAGACACCAGAATGTTTCGACGATTTTTAGCATTCGTTTAGGATTTTCAAACAACCTGGTCTCTTTTAAAATACTTTTAATTTGTTCTTACGTGGTTTTCCAGATGTAGTGACGACAACATTAAAGTTTAAAGAAGAAAATTCTAACATTTAAACCGACTAAACAATAACATAGTAAACTTGCATAATTAAACAGCAACTAAAAATGATAGGTTTACTAAATCTTTTCCTGTGCAATTATTACTAGCATTGGAGACAAGGATAATAGTTTGTTTGAAAGAGAAAAGAACAGGCTTTGAAGTAAGCCTAAAAGCGTTTAACTAGAAATAGTATTTCGAAAGTTATTAAACACAAAAGATGAATTGCGTTTATTTTGATACACCCTGTATAATTATATTTTTTTGACTTTTGACCATTTGATCAAAGATTTTAAAGTCGTGCATGGTATTCTCGCCCACTAATGACAACAAACCAACATGAAAAGCCCGAGAAATTTAGGCAAAGATTAACAGGTAAATATTTCACATGTACTATTGAGTACTGATATGCTTTTATTTTTAATTTTGAAAAGATAGTGGGAGTAAATGATAGAATATAATCCATTAGATAACAGGCTCTTTGTATAGTATTTAACAATTATTCGCCGAAAGCGAGCTGATTATCGGGGATTACATAGGTTAATATATTTGAATGCTGTTCTTAGGGTTTGTAATCCAAGTGAGTATATATATATACATTAAGACCTCATGCAGTGACCAGGAACGACTGCGAAAAATGCAGCACAAGGTCCTCTGGTAGGAATTGAACCTACGGCCCTGCGATTCCGGTGCAGCGCTCTAACCAACTGAGCTACAGAGGCCAGCTGTTGAGCTGTAACCGTAAGTTCATGTATATATAGGTGATCGGGTGTGCGGGTTGTGATAAGGTGGACTTCAATGAGCTGGTTTCTTGCACTTCACTTGGTGGTATTAATATTTGAATGCTGTTCTTAGGGTTTGTAATCCAAGTGAGTATATATATATACATTATAAGACCTGACCAGGAACGACTGCGAAAAATGCAGCACAAGGTCCTCTGGTAGGAATTGCTAATAAATTCATTCATTTATCAGTTAGCGATTCCCAGCAGCCTTTCGCGCTCGTATTCGACTTTTCCGCTTTGCTCGGGGGACAACCTTAATTGAAATAGCTGTATACAGGTGTAAAGGCATGAAACAATGTGCTTTTATCTATATATTCTTTGTGTTTTATATATACACTAGATTCTTTGTTTATTATAGTATGCATAACTATGTTGGGGTGCCAGAAGAAGCTAGGAGTGCCAGAAGCTCTGGCACCGAAATAGACCATATAGCATCCATGCATGCAGGGTTGCATTGGATCTCATTACAGGCCAGAACTGAGAAGGTCACCCATGTTAATCAGACATCAAGTACGAATAACAATAAATTGGTAGATATAAAATTGAAAGACATTGTGAAACCTGCGGCACCGGTGCGGTTGAAGACGAATTTCACTTTGCATTCGAGTGTCCAAGTTATAGTAGCATTGGGAACAATGCAAACAATATATTAAAAAATAATTTTCAGATGAACATTACAACGGATTCAAAACAAAACTTATTGACGCATGTGATGTCATGCGATGACTTAGCTATAATTGAGCTATTTTCTAGCTTTATTTCAAAATGTTTCTGCCGTAGAGACGGATGCCTTAAATCTGGGGATACTCCTTAATTACTATAAAAAATATATTCTTTTGTTTATACTATATATTATATACTTTTAGGAAACTTTAATATGAACTACACAGTAGTCATAACATTTGTTCTTGTTATAATAAGATAGACAGTGCTCTTAACAGGTCTTAACAGCACTTCTACTTAATACTTTAGCAATGCCTGTACAGGTCATGCCAATAAAGTTGTTAATAATAATAATAATAATAATAATAATAATAAAAAAGGTCGCTTCCATTCCCAGGTGGGTTTCTTCACCGCAGTCCTCCTTGCTGTGCACCCTTGCATAGATGCAACTACATGAGCAAAACTTAAGAAATCAATGAACTTCAACAATTTGAGTGAAAGACCTATAATTTTCTTTTCTCAAGTAGCTGCATGATACATTGAAGCCTTCAAATAGTGTTGTGGCTTTATAAGCTGCTTTTCTTCTCGTTATACATGTGTGATGGAAATAATGAAATAAAAAAAAGTTATTTCTGCAACAGCCCTTGCATTGAAACACTTTATTAATTTGTATTTTTCTTGTTCATGCTTGAGCATCAGCCTAGATCAGCAAATTCTATTGGATTTATGAGGGCACTTGAAGTATATTGGCTCAGCGCCAGGAAATTTGTCCTCACCGTCAGGAACCTCGTCCTCACTGCCACAAGCCTTGTCCTCACCGCCACAAACCTTGTCCTCATCGTCAGAAACCTTGTCCTCAGCATCAGGAACCTAGTCCTCACCGCCAGGACCTTTGTCCTCGCCGCCAGGAACCTTGTCCTCACCGCCAGGAACCTTGTCCTCACCGCCAGGAACCTTGTTCTCACCGCCAGGAACCTTGTCCTCACCGCCAGGAACTTTGTCCTCACCGTCAGGAACCTTGTCCTCACCGCCAGGAACATGCTCCTCATTTCCAGGAACATTGTTCTCATTGCCAGGAACCTTGTCCTCACCGACAGGAACCTAGTCCTCACCGCCAGAAACCTTGTCTTCACCGCCAGGAACCTTGTCCTCACCGGCAGTAACCTTCTCCTCACCGGCAGGAACCTTGTCCTCGCCATCAGGAACCTTGTCCTCACCGCCAGGAACCTTGTCCTCACCGCCAGGAACCTTGTCATCATTGCCAGGACCCTTGTCCTCACCGCCAGGAACCTTGTCCTCACTGCCAGGAACCTTGCCCTCACCGGCAGGATCCTTGTCCCCAGTGTCAGGAACATTCTCCTCACCACCAGGAACTTGTCCCCACCACCAGGAAGCTTGTTCTCACAGTCAGGAACCTTGTCCTCATTGCCAGGTACCTGCTCCTCATTGCCAGTACCTGCTCCTCATTGCCTGGAACCTTGTCCTCATTCCCAGGAACCTTGTCCTCACCGCCAGGAACCTTGTCCTCACCGCCAGAAACCTTGTCTTCACCGCCAGGAACCTTGTCCTCAACGGCAGTAACCTTGTCCTCACCGGCAGGAACCTTGTCCTCACCGGCAGGAACCTTGCCCTCGCCATCAGGAACCTTTTCCTCACCGCCAGGAACCTTGTCCTCACCGCCAGGAACCTTGTCCTTACCGCCAGGAACTTTGTCCTCGCCGCCAGAAACCTTGTCCTCACCGCCAGGAACCTTGTCCTCATTGCCAGGAACCTTGTCCTCACCACCAGGAACCTTGTCCTCACTGCCAGGAACCTTGCCCTCACCGGCAGGATCCTTGTCCTCAGTGTCACGAACATTGTTCTCAGCATCAGGATCCTTGTCCTCACCGGCAGGAACCTTGTCTTCACCGCCAGGAACCTTGTCCTCACCGCCAGGAACCTTGTCCTCACAGCCAGGATCCTTGTCCTCACCGTCAGGAACCTTGTCCTCACTACCACAAGCCTTGTCCTTACCGCCACGAACCCAGTCCTCATCGTCAGGAACCTTTTCCTCAGCATCAGGAGCCTTGTCCTCACTGCCAGGAACCTTGTCCTCACCGCCAGGAACATTGTCCTCACCAACAGGAACTTGTCCCCACCGCCAGGAAGCTTGTCCTCACTGTCAGGAACCTTCTCCTCACTGCCAGGAACCCTGTCCTCACTGCCAGGAACCTTGTCCTCACTGCCAGGAACCTTGTCCTCACCGCCAGGAACCTTGTCCTCACCGCCAGGAACCTTGTCCTCACCGCCAGGAACCTTGTCCTCACCGCCAGGAACCTTGTCCTCACTGCCAGGAACCTTGTCCTCACCGGCAGGATCCTTGTCGTTAGTGTCAGGAACATTGTCCTCAGCATCACGAACCTTGTCCTCACCGGCAGGAACCTTGTCATTACCGCCAAGAACCTTGTCCTCAGAGCCAGGAACCTTGTCCTCACCGTCTGGAACCTTGTCCTCACTACCACAAGCCTTGTCCTCACCACCACAAACCCTGTCCTCATCGTCAGGAACCTTGTCCTCAGCATCAGGAACCTTGTCCTCACTGCCAGGAACCTTGTCCTCGCCGCCAGAAACCTTGTCCTCACCACAAGGAACTTGTCCCCAGCGCCAGGAAGCTTGTCCTCACTGTCAGGAACCTTCTCCTCACCGTCAGGAACCTTGTCCTCACCGCCAGGAACCTTGTCCGCACCGCCAGGAACTTTGTCCTCACCGCCAGGAACCTTGTCCGCACCGCCAGGAACATTGTCTTCACCGCCAGGAACCTTGTCCTCACCGCCAGAAACCTTGTCCTCACCGCCAGCAACCTTGTCCTCACCGTCAGGAACATTGTCCTCACTGCCACAAGCCTTGCCCTGACCGCCACAAACCTTGTCCTCAACGTCAGGAACCTTGTCCTCAGCATCAGGAACTTGTCCCCACCGCCAGGAACCTTGTCCTCACATTCAGGAACCTTGTCCTCATTGCCAGGAACCTTGTCCTCACCACCAGGAACCTTGTCCTCACCGCCAGGAACCTTGTCCTCACCGCCAGGAACCTTGTCCTCATCGCCAGGAACCTTGTCCTCACCGTCAGGAACCTTGTCCTCACCGTCAGGAAGCTTGTCCTCACCGCCAGGAACCTTGTCCTCACCGGCAGGAAGCTTGTCCTCACCGCCAGGAAGCTTGTCCTCACCGCCAGGAACTTTGTCCTCACCGGCAGGAACCTTGTCCTCACCCAAAGGAACCGTATCCTCACCGGCAGGAACCTTGTCCTCATTGCCAGGAACCTGCCCCTCATTTCCAGGAACCTTGTCCTCATTGCCAGGAACCTTGTTCTCACCGCCAGGAACCTTGTCCTCACCGCCAGGAACCTTGTCCTCACCGCCAGGAACCTTGTCCTCACCGCCAGGAACCTTGTCCTCACCGCCAGGGACCTTGTCCTCACCGCCAGGAACCTTGTTTCTACCACCAGGAACTTATCCTCACCGCCAGGAACCTTCTCCTCACTGCCAGGAACCTTGTTCTCACTGCCTGGAACCTTCTCCTCACCGGCAGGAGCCTTGTCCTCACTGCCAGAAACCTTGTCCTCACTACCACAAGCCTTGTCCTCACCGCCACGAACCCAGTCCTCATCGTCAGGAACCTTTTCCTCAGCATCAGGAGCCTTGTCCTCACTGCCAGGAACCTTGTCCTCACCGCCAGGAACCTTGTCCTCACCGCCAGGAACCTTGTCCTCACCGCCAGGGACCTTGTCCTCACCGCCAGGAACCTTGTTCCTACCACCAGGAACTTATCCTCACCGCCAGGAACCTTCTCCTCACTGCCAGGAACCTTGTTCTCACTGCCTGGAACCTTCTCCTCACCGGCAGGAGCCTTGTCCTCACTGCCAGAAACCTTGTCCTCACCGGCAGGAACCTTGTCCTCACCGCCAGGAACCTTGTCCTCACCGCCAGGAACCTTGTCCTCACCGCCAGGAACCTTGTGCTCACCTCCAGGAACCTTGTTCTCACCGCCAGAAACCTTGTCCTCAACCGCAGCAACCTTACCCTCACCGGCAGGAACCTTGTCCACACCGCCAGGAACTTTGTCCTCACCGTCATGAACCTTGTCGTCACCGTCAGGAACCTTGTCCTCACCGCCAGGAACCTTGTCCTCACCGCCAGGAACCTTGTCCTCACAGCCAGGAACCTTGTCCTCACCGTCAGGAACCTTGTCCTCACTACCACAAGCCTTGTCCTCACCGCCACAAACCCTGTCCTCATCGTCAGGAACCTCGTCCTCAGCATCAGGAACCTTGTCCTCGCTGCCAGGAGCCTTGTCCTCACCGCCAGGAACCTTGTCGTCACCACCAGGAACTTGTCCCCACCGCCAGGAAGCTTGTCCTCACCGTCAGGAACCTTGTCCTCACTGCCAGGAACCTTGTCCTAACCGCCAGGAACCTTGTCCTCAGCATCAGGAACTTGTCCCCACCGCCAGGAAACTTGTCCTCACATTCAGGAACCTTGTCCTCATTGCCAGGAACCTTGTCCTCACCACCAGGAACCTTGTCCTCACCGCCAGGAACCTTGTCCTCACCGCCAGGAACCTTGTCCTCACCGCCAGGAACCTTGTCCTCACCGCCAGGAACCTTGTCCTCACCGCCAGGAACCTTGTCCTCACCGCCAGGTACCTTGTCCTCACCGCCAGGAACCTTGTCCTCACCGTCAGGAACCTTGTCCTCACCGTCAGGAACCTTGTCCTCACCGCCAGTTACCTTGTCCTCACCGCCAGGAACCTTGTGCTCACCGGCAGGAACTTTGTCCTCACCGGCAGGAACCTTGTCCTCACGACAAGGAACATTGTCCTCACCGCCAGGAACCTTGTCCTCACCGCCGGGAACCTTGTCCTCAACGGCATCAACCTTGTGCTCACGACCAGGAACCTTGTCCTCTCCGCCAGGAACCTTGTCCTCGCCGCCAGGAACCTTGTCCTCACACGCAGGAACCTTGTCCTCACAACCAGGACCCTTGTCCTAACCGCCAGGAACGTTGTCCTGACCGCCAGGAACCTGGCCCTCACCGCCAGAAACCTTGTCCTCACCGCCAGGAACCTTGTCCTCAACGCCAGGAACCTTGTCCTCACCGCCAGGAACCTTGTCCACATCGCCAGGACCTTGTCCTCAACGCCAGGAACCTTTTCCTCACCTGCAGAAACCTTGTCCTCACCTGCAGAAACCTTGCCCTTACCGGCAGGAACCTTGTCCTCACCGCCAGGAACCTTGTCCTCACCACCAGGAACCTTGTCCTCACCGCCAGGAACCTTGTCCTCACCGGCAGGAACCTTGTCCTCACGACCAGGAACCTTGTCCTCACCGCCAGCAACCTTGTCCTCATTTCCAGAAACCTTGTCGTCACTGCCAGGAACTTCGTCCTCACCGCCAGGAACCTTGTCCTCACCGCCAGGAACCTTATCCTCACCGCCAGGAACCTTGTCCTCACCGCCAGGGACCTTGTCCTCACTGCCAGGAACCTTGTCCTCACCGCCAGGAACCTTGTCCTCACCGCCAGGAACCTTGTCCTCACCGCCAGGAACCTTGTCCTCACCGCCAGAGACCTTGTCCTCACAGCCAGGAGCCTTGTCTTCACCGCCAGGAAGCTTGTCCTCACCGCCAGGAACCTTGTTCTCACCGCCAGGAACGTTGTCCTCACTGCCATGAACCTTGTCCTGACCGCCAGGAACCTTGTCCTCACCGCCAGGAACCTTGTCCTCACCGCCAGGAACCTTGTCGCCACCGCCAGGAACCTTGTACTCACCGCCAGGAACCTTGTCCTCACCGCCAGGAAACTTGTCCTCACTGCCAGGAACCTTGTTCTCACCGCCATGAACCTTGTCCTTACTGCCAGGAACCTTGTTCTCACCACCAGGAACCTTGTTCTTACCGCCAGGAACCTTGTCCTCACCGCCAGCAACCTTCTCCTCACCGCCAGGAAACTATTTGTGAATGCCAGGAACCTTGTCCTGACCGCCAGCAACCTTGTCCTCACCGCCCGGAACCATGTCGTCACCGCCAGGAACCTTGTCCTCACTGCCAGGAACAATGTCGTCACCGCCAGGAACCTTGTCCTCACCGCCAGGAACCTTGTCTTCACCCCCAGGAACCTTGTCCTGACCGCCAGGAACCTTGTCGTCACTGCCAGGATCGTTGTCCTTATAATATTTGTATTCTCTTTTACATAGTTTATTTCTAATATCAACTGCACGCTACAAAATACTAATCCTAATGATTCCATGTGCTCTCCGGTCACATGACTATATCTGTCACTCAAGTCTATGACATCACTACACCATTCCCTTTGTTTTAACAAAACATAAATGTTTTAACTGTTCGAATATAAATTGTGTCCATATCACAAATTAATACTAATTTATCTATAGTTATTACTTTAATAAAAGTCACGTAACAATGTTAGACGGTAATGTTTGTCCGTATCTTTCGGGTCGCTTTCTTACTCTCGTGGACCGTCGAGGGTGCTCATTCATACCGTTACCATAATTGTTGTTATTACGGTTGTTCATGTTAAACTGTACTGTTTCCTCTGGAGTACGCCGATTGTTACTCTCTGTACTGAAATCGTCGGTTTTCTCTGACTTATCTTCATTATCTTTGCTGGGTTTGGGTATCTTTTTAAAATGTGAAACATTTCGTTCTATTTCATGTCCATCTTTATTTCTATCTCTAACTACTGTTTTGTTCCGATAAATAACAACATAAGATGTTTGATTGAAATTTGGCGTTAGTTTATTTGCCTTAGGTTGTTTCACCAACACATAGTCTCCCTCTTTGATTCCACTTTCCTTTGCATTCCTCCTTTCGTTTGCATATCTTTCGTTATACTTCTGTCGCTTGTTTTCATTTTCACGAGCTTCCTTAGGTCGGTTCACAATGTTCGTCCTGTGAAGAATGGGTAACTTGCCTTGTACCGTCTGATTGAAGAGTAGTTCAGCCGGAGGAACACCGGTAGGACTTTGTGGTGTCGTCCTATACTGTAGCAAGAATCTATTGAGCTCTTGCTTCCATGGGCGACCTTCGATTTTGGCTGTTTTGAGTGCTTTTCCAAGGGGTTGCATAAATCTCTCAACTTGGGCATTGCCTTGAGGCCATAATGGAGTAGAAAACTCGGGTTTGATTCCCAGTGACTTTAAACGGTGGGCCATTATCTGACTTTAAGACTTCTGGGATGCCATGCACAGCAAATATTTTATCAAGCTTCGGTATCACTACTAAAGCTTTTGTAGAACGGACGATTTCCACGTCTGGAAATCTTGAGTACCGGTCAATCACCACCAGTAGGTAGTCATTCGATGGCAGACGGCCATAGAAGTCGACATGTAAAACTCTCCAGGGGTGTTTTGGCATATTTTTTGTTGCTATTGGCTCAGGTGCATTCGCTCGCCCAACTGGGTTATAGATTCATATCTCGCTATTTATAATGCTAACCCTAACCCCCACCCTAACCCTAACCTTAGCTAACCGCTAACCCTACTAGCGAGACATGAATCTATATCCCCCAACTGCTTGACATGCAACACATCGTTCTATTGTGTTTTTCACCATGGTGTCCATCTGAGGGAAACCATATCTTTTCTCTAACAAGACTTTTGGTCTTTTCAACTCCAAGGTGTGCTTCGTGAGCTATGTCTATCGCTCTTTGTTGTAAAGATTTTGGAATTACAATTCTGGTTCATCTAAGAATTACTCCATGAGACGTGACAGTCAATTCATCCTTTATCGATTTAAAGGATTGTACTACAGGTGAGTCCCATCGTTTGAGTCGTATAGCTGCACGGAGACCTTTTAACGTACTGTCGCTTTTATTATTTCATCCAGAGTCATGGCTCTGGGGACCGCATTAAGCACAATGAAGTTAATATATTCCTCGGTCATTTTCTCTTGCTTCCGTGAATTGGGGTTGATTGGATGTCTCGATAAATAGTCGGCTGGATTATTTGCGTCCGACTGATAAACAGTTTTAAACGAGTATGGCTGAAGTCGAAGGATCCAGCGCTCGATTCTTGCTGAAGCTTTCGCCTTTCGACTTCCATAAATCACTTCTAACGGTTTGTGATCTGTAACTAGAGTGAATTGGCTACCATATAAAAACAAATGAAAATGTTCAACAGACCAAACTATTGCTAAAGCTTCCTTTTCTGTTTGTGAATAACGTGTTTCTGTGTCTGTTAAGGATCTGCTTGCATATGCAACAATTTTAGGATCATTCGTACCTGGTTCCTGTTGTGACAGAATTGCTGAGATGCCCACGGGACTAGCATCTACAATGACTAGTGTCTCTTTGTCTTTAGCAAAGTATGACATACATGGTGCTGATGCTAAGGTTGCTTTCAATTTGTCAAAACATGCTTGGTGTTTTGGCAACCATGTAAATCGTGCATTCTTTTTCGTTAGTTCTCTAAGTGGGGCAGTTAAAGTCGCAAAGTCACGAATATATTTGCTACTGTAGTTAGCCATGCCTAATAAACTACGCACTTCAGAAACACTAGAAGGCTGGGGAGCATTGAGTAAGTCGTTTACCCGTTTCGGGTCAGGTCGTGTGCCTTCTCTGGAAAATATCTGTCCGAAAAATTCCAGCTTATCTTTGAGGAATGTACACTTTCCTCGGTTTAACTTTAGACCAGAATTAGATAAGCGGGCAAGGCATTTATCTAAATTTTGATCATGTTCAGCTCGTGTTTTTCCGAACACGATTATATCGTCTGCGATATTTTTCACTCCATTCAATCCCTGTAGCTTTGTTTGAAGGACATGTTGAAAGGTCTCAGCGGACGCATTAGTCCCATAGTTCAAACGCTTGTAACGATATAATCCTACATGAGTGCTGAACGTGGCAATAAATCTGCTTTCTTGATCTAGCACTAGTTGATGGTAAGCTTGAGATAGATCAAATTTAGTGAAATATTGTGTCCCGTTGAGTGCAAAACTAACATCGTTCACGGTAGGAATGGGGTGTCGTACCCGGCGTATGGCTTCATTCGCTTGCCGCATATCTACGCATATTCTG